TTTAAAGCAGCCAGAGAACGACATGCTATGTGCAGAGGAACCAAGATGAGATTTCAGCAGATTTCTCATCAGAAATAACGCCAAGTGAGAGGACCGTGAAGCAACATTTTTAAAATCCTGAAAATATCTTTTAAAAATGAAGGCGAAATTAAGACTTTTTCAGACATACCAAAGGACAAATAAAGCCTTTTATTTCATACCCTGTGACATAAAGATGTTTTCAGACAGACAAAGATGGATGAAGCCATCACTGGCAGACCTGCAATGCAGGGAAATGCTAAAGTCCTTCCGGCAGCAGGAAGATGGTACTGAACAGACAGACGCCTGAGATACATAAAGGGATCTCCACCAGAAATGGTAACTACTATACTTTTAAAAATTACACACATATCTTTAAAAGACAGTTGACTATTCAAAGAAAAATAACCATGTATTGTGAGGTTTATGATGTAGCTAAAGTTAAAATTCATGAAAAAATAGCGTAAAGGCTTGGAGGGGAGACAGGGAAGGATATTATTGGTTCTTACACTAAACATGACATAGCATAATATCACTTGAAAGTAGACTTCATAAGTTAATAATATATAATATAAACCCTAGGACAGTTATACTTAATAAGCCAACAAAGAGGATAAAACGGAATCATAAAAAAAATACTTGATTAATTCAAAAGAAGGCAAAAAAAGTGGAAAAAGGAAATGAAAAACAGATAGGGTTAATAGGAAACAAATAGCAAAATGATCTTCTGAAGCCCACTTATTAATATTAACAATCACAATAAATATAAATGGTCTAAGTACCCCTACTAGTCAAAATGACTTTGAAAAAGGAGATCAAAGTTGGAGGACTAACGTTACCATATTTCAATAATTATTATAAGGCTGCAATAACCAAAACAATGTGGTACTGGTGTAAAAATAGAGAAAGAAATCAATGGAACAGAATACGTACTCCAGAAATAAACCGACACATGTCAACAACTGATTTTTGACAAAAGTACAAGGACAGGGGTGGCCAGTTAGCTCAGCTGGTTAGAGCGCAGTGCTCATAACACCAAGGTTGCCGGTTCAATCCCCACATGGGCCACTGAGCTGCGCCCTCCACAACCAGATTGAAACAACTACTTGACTTGGAGCTGATGAGTCCTGGAAAAACATACTATTCCCCAATTTAAAAAAAAGGTGCAAAGACAATGCAGTGGGAAACGGATAAGCTTTTCAACAAATGGTATTGGGATAATTGAATACCTACACACACACACACACACACACACACACACACAGACACGCAAAGATATTATATCTATAGTTCATGCCATATACCAAAATTAATTCACAGTGGATCACAGACCTAAGTGCAAAACTTTAAACTATAGAACTTCTAAAACAGAGGAGAAAGTCTTTGTGACTATGAATTAGGCTATGATTTCTTAGATATGGCCCCAAAAGCCCAATCCATAAAAGAACCAACTGATTAATTGGACTTCATTAAAATTGAAAATATCTGATGTTTAAAAGAGTCTGTTAAGAGAATGAAAAGACAAGCATATGTTTGCAAAGCATATATCTGCCAAAGACTTCTACCCAAAATATATCAAGAACCCTCGAAACTCAACAATAAGAAAATGAACAACCCAATTAGGAATAAATTATGAGAAAAATCACTTTGTTTATCTTTTACATTTTTCTTTTTTAATTCTAATTTTTGTATATGTTTTATAATATACATAATTTTTACTACACTAGTTTCTTTACATCATGGTGAGGAGCTCTTTATTTTGGGGGCCGGACAAGCCTTTGCTGTGGCAGGCTGTTCGGGGCATTATGGGAGATTGAGCAGGATCCCTGGCCTCTGCTCACTATTCTCCCTGAGCTGTGACAGCCAAGATGTCTCCAGACATTGCCACATGTTCCAAGAGGCAAAACTGCCTCGAGGTGGGTTTAGATGCATGAATAGAAAACTTCATATACGGGGAATACTGACAAATTTCAGCACAGAGGGGCGTACACACAGCAAGGACTCCTTTGACCAAACTTGAGTGGGGCTCCTTTGAGCCCTCTCCTCAGCCTGCTGCTGA